CCCTCCCTCCCTCCCTCCCTCCCTTCCTTCCTTCCTTCCTTCCTTCCTTCCTTTCTTCCTTCCTTCCTTCCTTCCTTCTTTCCTTCTGTATGAATGCTATTCCATTGTGCACTTGTACCAAATTTTCTTTATCTGTTTACCAGTTGGTGGACATGTAGGATTTTTTTCAATTTCTTGGCTATTGTGGTTAATAGGAATGCAGCATTTCTTAAAATTTAATCACTAGCACTTAAGAGACAGTGTGAGCTAGTTCTAGAGGTCCATAGACCTCTGAACCTGAGGTCTATGGAGACTGTATATCTCCAGATAAAAAGTCCAAGGAAAAATAATTCATAATGTAGATTATAAGATGATTGGTTGTGATCTTCAGCTGTGGACCCATAAAAAGGGAATTGGAATGATTTTTGATAAACACTAGATTAGTGTTTTGTACATGTCCTAAAAGTCTAAGGAAATTGTATTAGTTTCACTAGGAAGGATATTCAAAGAAAAGAGAGAAGATTACATCTGAATCTTATTCAAAATGCTCATGCATTATAAGACATAATATCTAAATATGATGTAATGGTGGGGAGGGGAGTTGATACAATCCAGGGGAGGATGGAGACATGAACAGGGTAGTCAGTGAAACAAAAATGCTATAGCAAGCTAGACTGAAAAGATTAGGATTCTATATGAGAAGTGCTAAGGGTTTATGGTCTAGCCTCACAAAATTGGAAAGGGTCTTAGAGCACTAATCCTTCTTCCTGCCTTTGCCAGGCTGAGTGTCATCCATTGGTAGTATTAACTATGGGGAGTTCATACTGGGGAAAGGTGGGATATAATTTTCTGGCTTCTGGGAAAGGAAGAGGGAATATGTGTGGAAGAAAGGAGACTAACTGTAAGGCTGTTGTGTAGTCGTAGTGGGGAGCCAGGATGGTGGGTGGGATGAGGGAGGCTGAAGTGTAGAAGTATATTCTAGTTTTGTCTGGGATAGAGGCTTTATAGCAGATGCTTCTGGGCTGAATGGTTGGGTCAATGGCAGCTGAGAAAATGGTACAGAATATTAGTGATGTAGAACACAAGCTTTCTTTTGTTATAAAATTCAGTTTATAATTTAAAAGGGCTTTTATTATTCTAAGCAAGTTGAGCCTCCTTCACTACTACCTAATTTTAAAATATTTTTATTGTCCCACCAAATACCTCACACCATAAGTCAACATTCTTCAAACTCCATCCCCTGTCTCACTAACCTCTTTTTGTCTCTACGGATTTATCTGTTTGGGCACTTTATATAAGTGGGGGTCATAAAATATGCTTTCCTCTGTGAATGGCTTTCTCATTTAGCATGTATTTTCAAAATGTATTCATGTTGTAGCATGCATCAGTATTTAATTTCCATTTATTGCCAAATAATATTCCATTTTATGAACCTATTACATTCCATTTTATATTCTCCTTATCATGGATAGGTATCTGGGTTGTTTTTATTTAATTGTAAAAATATTAGGAGTTTCTGTGTGATCACCTGTTTTCATATCTGTTGCATATATTCTTAGTTGTAGAATATCTGGGCTTTATGTTAACTCTGTTTAGTCATTTGGGAACTGCCAAGCTGTTTTCCAAAGTGGCTGTACCATTTAAGAATGTTTTTTAAAGAGAGCTAGAAATAGCTAATAGCATTCAGAGAGCAGAAAAGGTGATAATAAACATATGGGTTTGGGAGAAGGCAGTTGGTGCCAAACAGGACCTCACAGATTTGCTCATGATGAGGACATGTGGCACGGAGACACTGAGGCATGTCTCTGTCCAGAGCCACATTTGCACCAGATTAAGAAATGGAACCAGGCTGTGGTTGCATTCAAGTGTCTGTGACAACATGCCATTGTGTAATGAATTGAGAATATTGAATATCCCAGGGTACATTGATTAGGAGGAGCGGATCGTTTGGGAAAATCCTAGGTGTTTCTGTGCTTTAGCCCCACCCTTGTCATTGCTTACCTTATACTTTTCACTCTGCTGACCAAGTAGTAGGAATAGTTCAATCTGACCTCTAAGCTTGAGTTTAAAAACTGAATTTGTTTCCTTGCGTTCTTGTATCATTTGCCAATCAATAAACTGTGCAGTAGAACGAAACTTAGCTAGATTTCTAGTAAAGCAAAGAAAACTTGCATCTTACTTTCCAGGTAACTGTTTTACTTGAATTTTATTCATCTCAGATGTATTTATATATAAGCTTTAAAATTCACTTTCTAGAAGTTGCTATTCTCTCAAATGTTTCTTCTTCATTTTTTAAAAAGTTCTACCTGTGTTTGTCTTACAGGTAACAATTGCTTGTGATGCAGTTCTCAGCTCAAAATCTCCATACAGAAAGCAAGACTCAGACACATGGGAAAGTGAATTGCCAGTGTCTAAATATGCCAATGACCTCACACAGTTGGATAATGGAGTCAGGATTCCTCCAAGGTCAGAGTCAAATATCAAAATGGAACTTTAGCCTCTATGGCTGGTCAAAGTTTTCTACCTCTTTTCTGAATTAAGAATTATGTATTCTACCAGATACCTTTTAGTAAGAATAAAGTCAATACTTCTAAAATTGTACCTTTGAAATGGATACACAACACATTCAGCACGTAGCCCTAGAGCCTTTTCCACATCAAAGCTGCCAGTTGCAGACACATACTCTGCTATAGGGCTTCTCCCCCTGAGGAAGCCAGTTGGGGCAGGCATGGACAGCAGCAGTGCCCCGGAATAAAAGCTCCCTTCTCCTTTCCTGGAACAGCCTTGACTAGGAGCCCTGCAGGCAGTAGAAACTACCCAGCTTCCTCTCTCCAGGTGGGGACACTTGTCTTCCTACTCCACAGCTGGCCTGAGTCCCAGCTGTTCATAGTGGCTCATTGAGATGTCCTGTCCTGGCTTCCTGTTCTTTTCTGTCTGTCTGCCTTACTCCTCTAGGGTACCTCCCTCACAAGTCATTTACATTTGTTATAGGAGGACTCAACTTAATACAGTGTTTAGTTGTCACATTTTGGCAGAAATATTCCTTGGGCTGAATTAGCATCTCCTCCTCCTTACTGCTAGTGTGTTTACAAAGGTGACTCCTGGAGGACAAGAACAGTGAGAGTAGCAAGAGTAGGACTCTACTTCTGTGTTCTTTGTGCACTTAGGAAAGGAGTGTCACTTCTGGGCCTCATTTTTTCTCCATGGAGAAACACAGATAGTAATACTGATGCTGGTCAGTGTTGACTACAATTAAGATAAAACTTTATGTAAATTCCCTAACACATGGCAGATATTTCATACTTAGTTTATTTTTTTCCCTATTAATTTGGATATATGGCCAGGGTGTGTTTGTCAGCTTTCTGTTACTATACCAAATGCATAAGACGAACAAGATGAAACGTTTGTTTGGCCTCACAGTTTTGGAGGCCACAGTGCTGAGGCCTTACATCATGTGATGGCGATGTATGGGGAGTGAAAGAGAAGAGGCCAAGGTTCCAATGTCCCCTTTGTAGGTGTCCCCCTAAAAGACTGGAAGATCTCCCACAAAGCCCAAACCTGTTACAGGTTTTATATAGTGCCACACTGGGGACTAAGCCTTCAGCACATGGGCCCTTGAGGGACCCTCCAGATCCAGACTGCAGGAAGGGGGTTTATTTAAACTAGATCACCATGTATGGCTAACACTTTAGAACCACCTATGCTTTTATACATGGGAACCTCAGTGCTCGCCACGTGTTCAAGCTCTGCTGTCTGTCCCTCATGTGAGAATTGTGAGGAAATGACCCCTTTCCTAGCCTCCATGTCCTGTGTCAGTTTTCTAAAGTTTAAGAGCATCTTGGAAGTGCTGGGAAGAGCTGGTCCAATCTGGGAGGCAGGCAGGGAACTGAATGGTCCTGTTGTGGTTCTAGGGTTTGGGTTCATTGTCTCAATCCGATAAATAATTGAAGGAAAGGACACAGATGACAGGGTAAGAAGCTGAGAGCCAAACTAATGGAAAGCAAAAGTAACAGACTTGTCTGAAGAGGAGGTCCACCAGGTAGGACTTATGAGGCAGGAGGAGTGGGAACAGAGGCAGTGCTTATTTGAAAAAGTAAGACACCAGAGGAAACTGAGGAAAAGCCTTGTAGATATTAGCAGGTTGGTATAAGCCCCCAATCTGAACTCCTGACTGGGAGGGCTGCATTATGCCATAGGAGATCTTACCCGAGGGATTTCCAGGCAAGGAAGAGGAAGAGAAAGGTGAGGATGAGAAGGAGATAAAGGATAAAAGAAGGAGGAGAAGGAAGAGGAGGAGGAGGAGGAGGAGGGGGAGGAGGAGGAGGGAAAAAGAAGGAGGAGAAGGAAGAGGAGGAGGAGGAGGAGGTGGTGGAGGTGGAGGAGGGAGAGGAGGAGGGGGAGGAGGAGGAAGGGGAGGAGGAGGAGGAGGAGGAAGAGGAGGAAGCAGCCGTGGCAGCGGCAAGGGTTTAGACTTCTCTGTGTAAGAGGGTGAAAAGTAGGGCCTGGAAATCGGTAGCCCCACTGTAGGCTTCTGGGTCCTTCTTTTGGTGCATTTTGGTTGAGCTCCCATCTGGTTGAGTCACTTTCTATCTCACCCCAAGGGGAGAAGGCACCTGTCCCCCTATGCTGTTTTCAAGGTTGTTTGGATGAGGAGGTGGGGTAGGCTCCATAGGCCATCTCCATTATCCTCAGGGTCCCCCAGGAAGATGAGACAGTGTTACCCCCACTTGGAGGCTGTCTGTCCCTATCTGCCTAAACAGTATCAACTGTCACTTAGTAGCCATAAGGTTTTTGGGAGAGAAAGTGGGAAGCCCAGTCTCTGGTATTTTATCAAGGGTATCTTGTGACCTCCACCTTGAGATACTTTTCTTATGTGTTAGATTCTTTGTTGTTATTGTTGATTCTGTGCTCTGGCTCTTCTGACCGCTCTCTGATGACTTTCTAGTGGTTGGAAGTGTGCCAGGTGTGACCTGCGAGAGAACCTCTGGTTGAATCTGACCGATGGCTCTGTCCTGTGTGGAAAGTGGTTCTTTGACAGCTCCGGGGGGAATGGGCATGCACTGGAGCATTACAGAGACATGGGTTACCCTCTGGCTGTGAAGCTGGGAACCATCACCCCTGACGGGGCAGGTGAGTTTGCTTTGACTGAATTTAGGAACATGAAGTGGCTTCTTATGGATAGCCAATCTCTGAACTCAGCACAAATTTGAATCTTGATTTTACCTACTAACTGTGAGTTAACTTGGCAAGTTTTCTAGTCTTCCATAATTTCAGAGTCCTCATTTTGAGAACACTTGGGAGCATAAAACACTGAATACGTTGGGACACAGTAATAGTGTAAGTTAGTGACTGTTGTTACTGTCCTTTTGTTTACCTTTTGGCTAAGAGGATAGTAGCAGCAATCAGGATTAGTGAAGTGAATGAGCGTAATAGAATCACTACCAGAACAGTAGGAGGAGACAATTCATTATGCGGAATCGTATTTAGGAACAAGTGGCTTAATGAAATGTAAAGAATTCTCTGTGTTGAGTGTGGGAAAACCAGGCACGATGCTGTTCACATTCTTTGAAGGATTACACTATTTCAACCATCAGCTTCAGAATTAGTTGTTTCTTTCAATTGTCATGATTTATAGAGTTAGTTTGGGTCATGTTTGTACAGTTAATTCCTTCTACCATTTTGTGATGGAAAGAGAAATAATATTTGGTCAAGAATGAAAAACTTGGGGCTGGGAAGGTGGCTCAGTGGTAGAGCGCTTGCCTTGCATGCCTGAGGCCCTGGGTCCAATTCGTCAGCACCACATAAGCAAAAAGAAAAAAACCGGCAGTGGCGCTGTGGCTCAAGTGGTAGAGTGCTAGCCTTGAGCTGAAGAGCTGAGGGACAGCACCCAGGCCCAGAGTTCAGGCCCCCCCCCAAAAAAAAAGAATGAAAAACTTAATTGTTTTTAACATTTATTATTATTATTATTATCTTTAAGTAGTTGTACAAAGAAGTTCCCAGTCTACAAAACAGTATATGAATACAAGTTGTCTGACAACATTGTCACCCATCGATCCTAACCCATCCCTTCTCTTACCTTATTTTTCTTTTCTTTTTTAAATTGAGATTAGGTGATTACATAAATTTCACATATTTCACAGTATTGCGGAATAGTGATACTTAGTTAAAGTCACAAACACATTTTAACCTTCACAAGGTAAATTGTCATTATCATGGTCTATAAAGTTTGTGAATTCTATAAGCTTTGACAATACAAGTATTTCTTCCACATCAGGTGATGTTTACATTTCTTTCCTTTTGCTTAGTGTAAGCTGTTCCCTTTGTTCCTCTCATTCCTCCCTTCCCATCGCTGTCTTTGGGTTGCTTAGTTCTTTTTCTTCCAGTGCAGCTGATGGGCCCCTTTATTGTATGTTGTTCCATTTCCCACTTCTTCTGCGTCCTCCTCCTGGCTACCCTCCATATACCATATATATGTTCAAGAACATGGAGTCATTTAGCAATTATACAACAAAAAGAGTGGCTGTCCTTTGAAAAGCTTAAATATTGAGCAGTATCTAGAGCCAGCATCCAATCATTCTTGAAAACATTGATCAAACCCAAATCAAGACCAATCCTCAGTCAAAGTACCTCCAAATTTCCAGCTTTATTTAGTCTCTGTTCTTTGTTCTATGGTCAAATGATGCTTTAGGAAAATAATGTGGCTTGTCTTCTCTTTTTCCTCTTTTTCTTAGTTATCTTTTTATGATGGAACTAAACTTGCTTTAGAGTTAATTGTCAAAGACTTTTCACTAGAGGATACTTCTCACTAACCCTTGCTAAACAGAACTGGTATAGTTTTGCATTTATTTTATAATTGAAAGCTAGTAAGTAAGTCATGTCAGGATTCTTTGGTTTCACAAATTCCAAATTTCACGGAATTATTTTAACTTATTAAAGAAAAGTAGCTGCAATGGTCTCTAGGTTCTGCTACCAAACATTTTCTTCCAAAGCAAGTGAACCTGTATATACACCAGATCTGCACCTAAATATTCCAGGATTTAAAGAGGAAATTCAGGACTTGCTTTTGGAGTCAGGATTGCAGTATGTGCTTAGCTAGCATTGGTCATTATTACTTTATAATGGCTATTGAGAAAGTGTTGTAAGAGATCTTTGTGCCTTTTCAAGGGGTTAGAGAGAGTTTCTAATACAGGAGCTCTTTTAATAAAATTGCAAGAGGAGAATATTGAAATTTAGATTCTCTTACTTTCTATCATGTTTAGTATAGGTTTTGTGTTTGTTTGTTTTTGCTGGTACTAGGGCTTGAATTCAGGACCTGGGCACTGCCCTGAGCTTTTGCACCCAAGGCTAGCACTCTACTACTTGAGCCACAATTACACTTCTAGATTTGGTTAATTGGAGATACAAGTCTCATGGACTTGCTGGTATGGCTTTGAACCACAACTCCTCATATCTCAGAGGCCTTATGAATAGCTAGGATTACAGGCATGTGCCACTGGCACCTAGCATGTTTTGTGTAGTTTAAAAAATCCAATTCTCAGAAAGCCAAATCAGGATTAACAATTTGTATATGTGTGGTTTAGTTTTTCTACATTTTTAGTTGTTTAAGAATAGGGCTATGTCTTACTCATCTTTCTCTACCACTCCAAATCTTACACATATCAGACACAGATGTTTTTGTCAAACAACTGGCATATAAAATTTAAAGGTTCTACTACTTTGATGTGTCTATGATGAAAGCAAAGATTAAATTTATTCTTTGTGGGTCTTTAATTATTCTAGAGCTCTTTTTTTCTAGTGGGAAATATTTTCTAACTGGTATTTAGACAAATCTAAAGCTTCTTTGCTTTCAATTTGAGGAAGGAAAATTTGATATTTTACTCTTGATGGGACAAGAAACATGTTCAGGATAATATCTAGGGAATAAGGAGAAAGGCTTAAATAAATTGAAAATCAATAGTAATATCTTTTAGACAAATGAGTATCCAATGAATATGAAATGGGATTGACAATTTTTTTTCAGCTTTTTTTTCCCTAAGGTCTTACTCAATTCATGTTCATACATCCATGTTTTCATAAAAATTGGATCAGAATGAAGTAAAGTTTTACTCTTTATTTTTCTTATATTTTTGTGTGATTAAGTGTTCTTTACTATTTCATGATGATTCTATACAGTATTTCATTTTTCTGCTCTGAATCATTAGAATTTGATTTTTTAAATTTTATTATAAAGATGCTATAGAGTAGAATTTGATTTTTTATTCTAATGGACATCTTTGTATAGATATAAATATTTGGCTGTTTGTCTAAGACAAATTCCTATGAAAATGGGTTGAATCTTTGCCATGTTTGTTTTATAAACAGTTGTCATAATTTACATTCCCACCAGTAGTGTATTTCAACAACTTCTTGAAAATTTCAGGTGTTTAGGCTTTTAAAAACATTTTCTTATCTAGTATCATGTTTTAATTTACTTTTTGAGTGAGGCCAAACATTTGTCACTTGTAGTATGATTTCTCCAGTATGTATATGAATATTAGATTTTAAGAACTCTTCATTTATTAAGAATATTAACCCGTTAGTGGCTCATGGTCTATAAGAGCTATTCAGGAAGCTGAGATCTGAGGATTGCTATTCTAAGTCAGCCTAGGCAGAAAAGCTTGTGAAACCTTATCTCTAGCAAGTCAAAATGGAAATGGAGCTGTGGCTTAAGTGGTGGAGTGCCAGCCTTGAGTGAAAAAGCTAAGGGAGAGTATTTAGGCCCTGAGTTAAACCTCCAGTATTCCCTCTCCCCCCTTCCTCTCTTTCTCTCTCTCTCTTTGTCTCTCATACACACAACCCCAAAAAATGAAAACCAAGCCAACAAATCAAATGAAAACAAAACAATAACTACAAAGAATAAAATCTATTATTTGCCATAGCTTTTGTGTGTGTGTTGTTGCTATTATAAAAGGAGAATATTTATTTAGTTCCTTATTCTTTTTCTTTAGGAGGAGAATTTTTAAGTTCATCTTATCATATAGATGAAAATATTTGAGTACCTTCTCTAGGTTCTTTTGTAGAAAGTATAAAACCCAGGGCATGTGCCCTGTGATAGAGGCTCTTGAACTCATTTAGCTGAAATGATGTTAGCTTTCTTAAGATCGGGCTTGGAATTCTCCACGTCTTCTGTAGTGTAGTTTTAAATTAAAATAACTATTTTCAGTCTATAATTTTCAATTCATTCATGGGTTACATCAATTCTACTTTTGTTTCTTTTACATCAATTATGGAAAAGTCATATAAGTGAATGAAAACGCATAAGTGTTTTCATGAGTACATGAAACTTCACACAAAGTTGCCTTAAGGGACTCATTTTGAGCCTTCAGGGGTGAGTGCAAGAGGGCAGGTATGGTAGCCATGTTCTGGAAAAGGTACCACTGGAGCAATACAGTCTTCATTCCTTTGACCTCTCAGGCAAATTGAACTTATAACAGACAAAGTCTTAAAGTCAAGGCATTTGTTTTTTTAGGTCCTAATGAGGATCACAGTCAGTAAGTGTTTATATCTACTTGACCAGTACATTCCCTCCCTGTGGGAAGATGAATTATATTTAGAAAATTGCTTAGTGAACATGGAATCCAAGAAGGTTGTGGATTCCAATGTTCAATGGGTATATGATCTGACTTATTTTGTTTACTTTCCCCTAATAAAGACATAACCTGTTCTCTGAGAGACTCTTTCCTATCCTTGAGGTCTCCACATTGATTTATAGTGCTCCTTAGAAGCCCCGATTCCCCAAGACCAGACCAAAAAGGTGACATGTGTCGTAAAGGTGGATTCCATATCCGATTGCACTTTGTGTCCCCATGGGCACAGCAGCAAACAAAACAAGAACTAGATCACCACACAAACAAATAAGTTTTTTTTTTCTGTGTAGGAGGAGACATTGTGTTGGCCAAGTAAGGAGGGGAGGTTCTTGACAGGAGGAATGAAAGGCGAGATGGAGGTGAGCGAGGTTGTGTTTTTTCCCCCATCAGGGAATAGAGTTATTTATCTGAGAAGGTGCATTTGTGCTATAGGCGGCCTCAGGAGAGTTGTCCAGGGATGCCCAAGGCAGCTTTTAGATTGCCCATCTCATTGATTGCAATGTCTTTCTAGTAACTTTCTTCTTTGGTTGTAGTCACCCCTGATTTGTGCATAAACTTCCTTGAGTTCCTCACAACCTGAGGGTCTAAAGGCATTGACTATGTCATTTTAGTTTTGATCTGGCTTATGCCTCTTTTGGGTGTACCTAGCATTGCTCTGTCACACCCCTTTTCACTTGATCCTGTAACTGTTTAGTGGTGGTGACTTGAGTGGTTTGCTATGTATTGTTTTATCTCTAGCATCGTACATAGTCTTTTGCATGTAGTAGGTGCTCAGTAAATATTTGTGGTATCAGCAAATGTAGGAAAACATACTAATAAAAACTGTTTCTCTGATTCACTTTTTTTTCTCTTTTCCCTCTGTGTTGTTGGTGCCTTTTTACTCATATGTTTTCCTTTATTGACTACAGTATAGTTTTGTCTGGTGTACAAGTTATATGCTTCTATTTAATTCATTTTCTGTATATTTGCTGGAGCAGTCTCTTATTTCTCTTTTATTCCTGTTGGTAGCAGATGACCCCTGGGCATCAAAATATGTGGTCAGGTGGACAGGTCAGCACTTAGCTCTGAAGAGACTTTTCCTCAACCCCTCTGCTCTGTCTTTCTCCTTGGTGTGTGACTAGAAATCTTGTTTCCTCTCTACTTGTAAGCAAGGTAGCAAAAACAGCTTCCTGTTTTTTTTTTTCTGGTTTAAACTCAGGGTCTTGTGCTTACTAGGCATGAGATATCCCCAGACTTTTCTTTTCTTTTATAAGCACAAGATCTTGTTGCAGGATCTCTCTATTTTTCTGACATTTTCTGGGTCTTAGGAAAAGAACACTGAATCTTAGCCAAGAGCTTGTCTATGGAGGTCCTTTACACACATAGGCATTCCTTCTAAGATAGAACAGAGACCCTGATGATTATATTAATTATAGTATATTTTATAGTATATTAATTATCAGCATCATAGCCCCAGTATCACTTTACTTTGTGTTCAGTAAATATGTATTTATATATAATGTATTTTTTGTTGGCTATAATGAATAATACATGAATAGGCTAATGAGCTAATCTATGCAGCTGAATAAAACTTACCAGTGATCCTGACAGCATGTCATCCAAGAGAATCATTTTAATCTGTGAGAATTACTTATAGAACATTTTCAATCATAATATTATAATACATTTGGCAAGGTAGAAAAGAAAACACTACATCTTTCTATTCAAGATACGTTTTCAGAAATAACAAATATTGCTCCTCTTTCTTAAAGATTCTCTATCTTGGTTCCACTCACAGCTCTAGTCTTAATGGTTGCTCCTAATGTGTGTATGTGCACACATATTTCATATATATGTATATATAATTAGTTTTGCTTTCGTACTTTTTGAGCTAAGACTTGATTTTGCTAAGTTGAAGCTGGAGATAAAATAAGCTTCCCAATGAACCCAGTGAAAAGCATGTAAGATGACATTTTCCACCATAAATCTGCCTCAACAGTTGTAAAAGTTACCTGTCACTTATAAACCCTTCATGACTGCCAAGTATATGGACATAGTTTATTTTTGGATTTATTCTCTCATACTCACTAAATTGTTTTTGTCATTGAGGTAAGAATTGACTAGTGTCTGACCAGATCATGTCACAACTTTAGATGTTTAACCACAGAGGTAGCAAGTATTATTTTGTCAATGTGACAAGAGCCACATTATGGTTAAGAACCATAGAAGACTGTGATTTTGACTTATTCTAAAATCCTAGGCCAATGTAGATGGTAGATAATTCCAGCAATCTTATTACTTTCTAGTAGAACTTCAATAATTAGAGGTTTAAGGTTTTATATCTTCAAAATTATACTTTTTGATAAGAAACAAAATTCAAATGCTTAGGGTGCTATTTTTTTATCCATCTACTCTTGGTGTGGTATTTTTCTGTTATTAGTTATAGGTTAAAAATATTGTTGCTGGGCTGGGAAGGTGGCTCAGTGGTAGAGCACTTGCCTTGCATGCCTGAGGCCCTGGGTTCAATTCTTCAGCACCACATAAGCAAAAAGAAAAAAGCCAGAAGTGGCGCTGTGGCTCAAATGGTAGAGTGCTAGCCTTGAACTGAAGAGCTGAGGGACAGGCTCAGGCCCAGAGTTCAGGCCCCACGACTGGACCCCCCAAAAAATATTGTTGCTAAGTACGGTGGCTCATGTCTGTAATACTAGCTACTTAGATCTGGTGATTCAAGGCCAGGCTGGACAAAAAGTATTCCAGACCCCATCTCTATAAGTACAGTGCTGACCTGGATGGCATTTGCCTGCCATCTCAACTACCTAGGAAGTGTAAATAGGATTATGGACTAGACCATCCCCTTGGGAAAAATTGTTTTGCTTTCAAAAAATAATGAAAGCAAAAAGGGCTTGGCTGTGGTTCAAGTGGTAGAGTACCTGCCTAGCAAGTGCAAACCCTGAGTTCAAACCCTGGTACCAAAACAACAAAAAAATTGAACTGACAACTATCCACTAAAGTTGTTAGTTCAAGGAGCTTTTTTCTTTTTTTTAACTGAAACCTTTTGGAAACTTTTTCCTTATTTGAACTGGGGATTTTGTTTATTGTTTTGCTTTTGTGAATGCTGAATAAATATATGAGGGCTGCCATCCACAAAGGTAAATAAGAGGAAACTATACAAGGTTTAATCTATTAACAACAAGGAAGACCTGTCTCCTTTGGGGGCTAGTGAGTCTCTACCTTTCTGGATATCACCATCTATATAGTAAGCCTGCCTCATTTGTAGATTTTTAACCCATGGTTTCAACTAAGTTCAAAACAAAAAATTTTAATTTCCCTCACACAGCTCAGTTGACATGGGGAATCAGTTGTGTTTAAATTGTGTGATCTCCTGAGTGCTTCTTGACCTTAATTTTTTTCAAAATTTTTATTGTAATTAAGTGGTTACATAATTCCCCAAATTTCACAGTATTGTGGGATAGTGATGCTCAGTTAAAGTCACAAACACATTCTAACTTTTCTGGAGCAAATTCTTGACCTTAATTTTGTAAAGATATGCTTCCCTAAAAGCAAACATTTCCCAAAAGGCAAAGTAAAAGTTAATGGCTTCCTTGAAATGACCAAGTGAAAGTTTGATATTGTTGAAAGGTGGCATGTCTTTAGCGGAAGTTGGGTCTTGTTATGGGAAAAATAAATCCAGCACCTGCATACAGCACAGTACTGAACTCTACGTGCTGAGCATCTGTGGTTCCTCATCAGGGAGGGTGCACTTGAAATCACAGACCTGTGTGTAGACCATATGTGTGGATAAGGGTATACTGTGGATTTCAAGGGTCTACTGTACATTGCTTCCCTTCCTATTGTGGTGTTCCAAAAAGTAGGAAACTCCTTGGACAGTGTGTCTTTCTTATTGAATGATATTTTTGTGTCTGTTTTCCTTGCAGTGGATTTTATTTTTCAAATTTAGGGTGAAGAAATTATGATAACTACTTTTTCTTTCTATTCCTAGAATGGGCCTAGGATGCTGCTTCACCATCTGTACCCTGATATACATAGGGAATATTCTGATGGAGAGGGAAGAGAATTGGGCCAGGAGTCAGAAACTTGGGTTCTAGGCTGTGAGGAGGCATCCTTGAACCTTTATGAGCCTCCTTTGCTCTCTGCAGGATGGGCTTAAGAATGGCTGTACCTCTTGTGCATTGCCCTACTGTGTGAGGACACATATGGCAGAGGATTCTGTTCCATAGCTGTGAAAAACTAAACAGTGCTTCAAAAACTTGGCTCTGTCCCTGGGGTTCTTGGGAGACAGGTTCTGACTGACCAGGTATGGGGTGGACCCAGATTCTGTATGTCCAAGGAGCCACATGCACTGTATTTAGAAGCCACAATTGGTTTAAAGTGTTAAATTATCATCCAGTGGAGAGAAGCTGCCAACCCAGCACTGAGCTGGGGGGGGGGCTAGCACAGGCCCTGGGGTACTGGGGCCTCCTGGTCCCCTACACCCTGAGTTGTTATGTTGACTATCAGGTAAGCTCTTTGGGTAGGTACCAAGTCTGTTCAGATCTCTCACTGGTTCTGAGAGTATGGACATGGAAGCAGCAGAGCAGGGGTGAAAGCAGGGGTGAGAAGATGGGGGGTGGGGAGGTAGAGGGGAGATAGAAGGTCTCCATGTAGAAGGTTCCACAGAAGGAATTGTCTGTGGGCTGTTTAGTTGCAGCTCAGGCAGTATTGGTCCTCTGCCCCACCCCTCAAAGGGCCAAGGCCTCCTTCTCTGGGAGATAGCTACCACCCGCCCCCTCCCCTCCGCCTGCCCCCCTCTTACCCTTCCTTCTTCCTAACCATAGAATTATGCTATAGTGGTTTTAGTAAAAAAATAAAATAAAAACTTTTCTTTCTTTTTATTTAGAAAACTTTTTTTTTTTTTTTGGCAGCTGTGGGGCTTAAACTTAGGGCCTGAGTGTTGCCCCTGAGCTCTTTTGTTCAAGGCTAGCGCTCTCCACTTGAGCTCCACTTCTGATTTTTGAGTGGCTAATTGAAGGTAAGAATCTCACAGGGACTTTCCTGTCTGGGCTGGCTTTGAACTGCCATCCTCAGATCTCAGCCTCCTGAGTAGCTAGGATTATAGGCATGAGCCACCAGGGTCCACTTGTTTTTTGTTTTGTTTTGTTTTGGTACTGGGGATTAAACTCAGGACATCACATTTGCTAGGCCAACACTTTGCCACTGAGCTACCTCCCAGACCCTTGAGAACTATTTTTAAAATGTTCTGAAATAACAAAATATGTGAACATATTTACAAAATTTACCTATTTGTTATTCAGATTGCTTATTTGTCTTTCTCCTAGTTGGATGTTTATGAGGTTTTTGCTTGTCCATGCATTGGTATACCCTGAGCCTGGTGAACAGTAAGAGTACAGTAAGTGTGTGTTGAATATGGAATAACTTGATTATAGATCTCAGTACTTATTTTCTCCTCACCCTCTAGATGTTTATTCTTTTCAAGAAGAGGAACCTGTTTTGGATCCTCATTTGGCCAAGCACTTGGCGCATTTTGGAATCGATATGCTTCACATGCATGGGGTGAGGTGCCCTCTTGTCTCTTATCCCAACTTGTGGGGGAAAGACGGGGGTGGGGTGGGAGAGGTGAGGGTTTCATTTAGTAATATGTAATTCCTGTCATTTTCATAGATTTTCAACGATTTTAGTTTGAATTATTACAGGTATTTCTCATCAAATACCATTTCATTTGGGATTTACTTGCAAAACTTCTGCCACCTCTGTTCGGTAGTTCCCTCTGGTTTGCCAAAGGGAAAAGATATAGGGAGATGCCCTTTAAAATTATTCGTGACCTACATCACCTGATTAATTTCAGGAAGGGAAGCAGAGTTCCCCTAGGGTAGTAGATAGAAGAAGGCAACCCATTGATGGAAAAGCTGCTTGTGTTTTTAAATTGCTATCATGACTACTGTTTTGCCCTGTGTGGTGCTGTTTGAATGTGCATGGCAGCTGGGTGCCTGTGACTCACACCTGTAACTTCAGGAAGGTAAGATCTGAGGATCTCGGTTTAAAGCCAACCCAAGACAGACAAATCTATGAGACTCTCATCTCTAATTAACCAGCAAAAAGCCAGAAGTAGAGGTGTGGCTCAAGTGGTAGAGTGCCAGCCTTGAGTGAAAAAGCCACAGCAGGTCCCCACGTTCAAGCCCTAGTACTGCCACATGGACATAAAACATATACATAACATGTTTTATTAGCCCTCTGCTCTCAAGCTATTCCCCTCTCTTCATGTTCTTATTGTCTTTTCTTTCTTACTACACCTACCTTTTCATTTACTTTTTTCTGCTCTTCTTTAAAGTCCCCTCTTCTTTCAAGACCCCTGGCTTTTCCCCACATTCCTCTCTGCTGTCTTGTCGTCATGTTTTCCTCTACCCTTAGTCTTGCTTCTTTTCTCCATTCCAGTCTCCTTCATTTTTATTTTTTATTTTAAAAATCTTTTCAGGGCTGGAAGGTGGCTCAGTGTAGAGTGCTAGCCTTGCATACATGAGGACCTGGATTTGATTCCTCAGCACCACATAAGCAGAAAAAGCCGGAAGTGGGGCTATGGCTCAAGTGGCAGAGTGCTAGCCTTGAGCTGAAGAGCTGAGGGGCAGCGCCCAGACCCAGAGTTCAGGCCCCACAACCAACCAAAAAAAAAAACAAAAAACTTTTCACGTTTTATAAAATTGTGGTAAATGTATGTAATGTGTAAAACAGCTTTTTTTTTTTAAAACTCAGGTGTGAGCTCTGGAGCTTGTGTTTGCTGGGAAGGTATTCTACTGTTTGTGCCATGGCCTGCCCTCAGCCCTTTGGCTTTAGGTTATTTTTCAGATAGGTCTCATGTTTCTTTTTCTTGGGCCTGGCCTTGGACCAACATCCTCCTGTCTGTATCTCTGCATAGCTGGGATTGCAGGCATGTACCACCATACCTATTTTTGTTGTTGTTGTTGTTGTTGAGCTGGGAGTCTCACTAACTTTCTATCTGGGGGGGCTTCAAACTATGATCTTTCTGATCTTTGCTTCCATAGTAGCAAGGATTATAGGTATGAGCTACAGCACCTGGCCCATTTTAGGTATTTATAAATATACAGTTCTGTGACATTAACTATTTCACATTATTATGTAATTTTCACCATTTTTCAATGTCATTTTTTTAGGATTAAATATAAATTGCTGAGAAATAGCAGTAGCCACAGAGGTAGTTTTTAGGGGAACACTACTTCAGGGGCACATTCCACCGTAACTCTTAATGCCTTCTAACTGTGTTATAATCCATGTAAAAGGCAGAAATAGGCATTGACCATAGAAATAATTCATGAGATGTTAGATTTGAGTGAGAATCACATTTCTAGATGTTTTTCTTCAATGTCTTGGCCCCAGACAGAGAACGGGCTGCGGGACAATGACATGAAGCTGAGGGTCAGTGAATGGGAGGTGATCCAAGAGTCTGGAACGAAGTTGAAGCCCATGTATGGCCCAGGGTACACGGGCCTGAAGAACCTGGGCAACAGCTGCTATCTCAGTTCTGTCATGCAGGCCATCTTCAGCATCCCAGAGTTCCAGAGAGCGTAAGTGCCTTATGTTGCAAAAGGCTTGTACCAGGGAAGCCCAGTTTCATCATTTGGGGATGTTTGCCTTGTCCTTCTAATCCTGAGGCTGAGTGAGAGTGCCTACCAAGCCTCAGGAGATCAGGGGAGATTAAAAGGGCTTTGAATACTGAAACCCTGTAGGTTTTCTGTACTAATTATGATTTTTGCCTTGAAACCACCACCCTTAGTGCCAAGAATATATTAATCAGCTGGGTACTGGTGTCTCACACCTATAATTCTAGTTACTCAGAAGGCTGAGATCTGAGGATTGAAGTTTGAAGCCAGCCTGTGCAGAAAAACTTGAGAGACTGTTATCTTCAGTTAAGCAGCAAAAAAACTAGAATGGAGCTATGGCTTAAGTGATAGAGCAGCAACCTTGAGTGAAAAAGTAAAGGACAAATTGCTCTGAATTCAAACTCCAGTACTGGGAGGAAGGAAAGAAGGAAAGGGGCAAGAAAGGAAGGAAGGAAAAAAGGAGAAGGAAAGAAAGAAAGAAGGAAAGAAAGAAAGAAAGAAGGAAAGAAAGAAAGAAAGAAAGAAAGAAAGAAAGAAAGAAAGAAAGAAAGAAAGAAAGAAAGAAAGACAGGGAATAAAAAAGAAAAGGAATACATTCATCATTCATCTTCACAGCACATCTTCTGGATCCCTCTTATAGATGGGCAAGGAAGACTCAGTGATTTGTTGGCCTGCGTCTTTCCTCAGAGGAGGAGAGATTTTAGGGATTTTCATATCTACATTTTGATATCCAGAATATAGTTCACAGATGAGGATGTATCTGTGGACTGGTGAATCTGGGTCTGTAGTAAAATAAATAGGGTAACCTAGGGTAACCTCATAGAAATATTGTAGCAACTTGACATTGCTGTGTTTTATAAGTGACATTTTATTTTTTCTACTCAATTGTTTTGTGCTTTTATGTTTGCTTTTTTTTTTTTCTGTGCTGGTCCTGGGCCTTGAACTCAGGGCCTAGGTGCTGTCCATGGTATTTTTCCTCAAGGCTAGCACTCTTAACACTTGAGCCACAGCTCCACTTCCAGTTTTTTGGTGTTAGTTGGAGATAAATCTCATGGGCTTTCCTGCCTGGGCTGGCTTTGAACCACAGTCAGTCCTCAGTTTTCAGCCTCCTGAGTAGCTGGGATTACAGGTGTGAGCCACTGACACTCAGCTGTATGGTATGTTTTAAAAAGTACCATCTATCTGAGTTGGAGGCACCATTTAGGGTGCTACCCAACTGTGTATGTGCAAGACTGCCTTCCTTTCCTTAAGCTAGGTGTCTCAGAAGCTGACTGTGACCCTGTTGTACTGAGGATAGAACCACACAGCCCACTCATGGGCAATCAGTGCCTAAATTTAGAAAATTATCTCTGGTGTATTCCAGAATGGGTAGGTCTCCATGCTGGTCCAAGTATGGAAGAGGAAATGCATACTAGGATAGACTGATGGGCAGTCAGCACACTAGGAATAGTCCAGTGTAACTTTTCATCCACATGAAGTTGAAATCCTAATGGCTTTCAAAATAATGGTTAGTCAAAGTGTGTCAGAAAACCTTTCCTACCCTGTCTTATATACTTAACCTCTTCTTGTTGCTTATTATCTGGCTTTGAAAATGGTCAATTTTTCACATCTAGTTTTTATTTTTATTTTTTCCTCAGTTAATAAAGAATGAGTTGTGTTCTCTTCCCAGCATTCTGGGGGTGTTTGGGGGTTCAGGGTACACACAAGAATATAGCACCCTTTACCCCAGGAAAACACAAAGACACAGACATTTAATATATAATAATACATGTTGTATGTATCACAAAGAAAAAACAAAAGAGGTATCTTTGAAGGTGGGATGCACCCCAGACATGTGTTAGAAAGAATATGGACAGAGGGGTTTGAACAGACTGAAGAACAAGTTTGAAGCTCTGACATGGGCAATATTTTCAAAGGCATACATTGTGTATCATCATATTATTCTTACAAATCTTACCCATGTGTCCTACTTCTATTATTATTCTTTGGGAAATCATTTTATATGATTGCTGCTCCAAATCTTTTTCTGTTTTTTGAAAAGATTGAAGGAATATATTTTTTGGTAGGTATTTTATAATCACTATTTCTTTTAAACTACAGTGGGAGGAACTACTGTTCTTTTCATCTAGTGCAACAGCAGTTTGGCAGTGTCAGTCCGTATCCGATTGTCTTCATTGATTTGTCAGGTCATCTTGATGGGAGTAGGTGGCAGAGGAGGCCATTCACTTTACATGGTCTTGTAATAGGAGTGGTTTGGCTTGCCCTAGGGAAGCAGAAAGGGAAAATGGCCAGAGCTTTGTGGGAAGGGGTACACGGGTGATAGATGAGGTCAGGAAAGTGGACAGAGTAGGGTGCAGAGGACTTCTGAATTCCTTTTGGAGCACTGAGGTTCAGAGAATGAGAGCCTGCAGGCAGAAAGAGCAACAGAGAGTAGAGAGTGTGATTACTGGCCATGGTGAGTATATCTCTAGTCTTAGCTCTTGGGGAGATGAGACAAGAGGATCTTGAGTTCTAGTCCAGCCTGGACCACACAGTGAAAATGTCCCCAAAACAAAGCAAACAAAACAACAGCAACAGCCAAGAGAGGATGAAATAGGAAATTAACTTCGGACATGAAAGGATGATTGTGTGTTGATTAGAAACCAGCCAGTGTTAGAGTTAGCACTGCTCTGTCAAGAGGAACTGGGCACAAGGAGGGATTTTGGACTTCTCAAAGAAAAGTAGACAGGCAGGTACAGTCAGCAAAGTGTTTGAGAGCACATCTTTGGAGCCAGGCTGCTTGGATGCTGCCTAATAAGGATGTATCCAGTTAACATATGACATAATGGTAATAGTGCCTACCTTGTGATTATAATGAAGACTCAACTAGCTAATTTATGAAGCTCACAATCTAGTAGCTGTCCCTGCTATTACCATTATCATTTATTTTGAGGCTACTGGAACAATTCTTTTTTTTTTTTTAACTGTAATCCAAAAACTAACCTCTATTCTCTGTAACCCACCAAGTCTGTGGGTCGGAGACAACTGACTGCCTGCTTTCTTTCTTTCTTTGATTTTTTTCCCCCTTTTTAAAAAAAATTATCTTTAAGTATTGTACAAAGAAGTTCCCATTCTACAAAACAGTATATGAGTACAAAGTGTCACAACGTTGTCACCCATCTCTCTTAACCCATCCCTTCTTTCACTTTTTTCTTTAATTGAGATTAGGTGATTACATAAATTTCACATATTTCACAGTATTGTGGAATAGTGATACTTAGAGTCACAAACACATTTTAACTTTCACAAGGCAAATTGTCATTATCATGGTCTATACAGTTCGTGAATTCTATGAGCTTTGACAATACAAGTTATTTTTTCCACATAAGGTGATGTTTACATTTCTTCCCTTTTGCTTAGTGTGGGCTGTTCCCACTATTGGAACAATTCTTAAAGTAAAAAGTGATCCAAACACTTGCTAAGATGTTAAGACAGACTATATCCAATGGGAGCTGTGATGATAGGTACAATGAGGTCTCACAGTGAGTTAGAGAGATTGGACAAGACTCCAGCTAGGACAAATGGGGATTTATAGAAGGAATAGGGTGAGGGCCAATGGGTAGAACATTGCCAAGTGGAAAGATCAAAGACCTGGGGCCCTGGCTAGACTGTCTTGATAGGGCTATTGCTGACAGCAGGTCACCATGGTCAGATGCTATGTGGATGGAGGGTTTTCACTATCACTCAAAATAGATTTCATAAGGAGGAAGCCCAAGATGGGAACACACCAAGTAGGGAATCAAAGAGCCTAAGTTTTGATGAAAGGAGAGAGTTATCATCTTACCATTTGGTTTTGAGGCAGTGATTGTGATTCTTGACTCTGGCAACATATTAGAATCACTAGGGTGACTTTTGAAAGAATCTGATATCCGGGGCTGGGAAGGTGGCTCAGTGGTAGAGTGCTTGCCTTGCATGCCTGAGGCCCTGGGTTCGATTCCTCAGTACCACATAAGCAAAAAGAAAAAAAGCCAGAAGTGGCACTGTGGCTCAAGTGGTAGAGCGCTAGCCTTGAGCTGAAGAGCTGAGGGACAGCGCCCAGGCCCAGAGTTCAGGCCCCACGACTGGACCCACCTCCCCCCCCCAAAAAAAAAAAAAGAATCTGATATCTGAGGATTGCGATTCAAAGCCAGCTTGGGCAAGAAAATCCATTAGACTCTTACCTTCAATTAACCACCAAAAAGTTGGAAGTGTTAGAGAATCAGCCTTTGAGCAAAAAACCCAGAGAACAATGTTCAGGGCCTTAGTTCAAGCTCCACTACCAGCATGAGAGAGTGAAAAAGCAAGAGAGCAAGAGAATGAGAGAGAGAAAGAGAGTGTGAGAGAGAGAGAAAGAGACAGAGCAGAGAGAGATAGACAGAGAGATAGAGAAAGACAGAGGGAGAGAGGGAGACAGGGGGAGAGAGAGGCAGAGAGTGAGAGGGAGAAAGGTAGAAGCAGAGAGGCAGAGAAAGAGAGAGAGACAGAAAGGCAGAGACAGAGAACTCAGAACATCTAGGGTTGAGCAATAGAAGCTTCAACATTTTTGAAAGGTTTATGAGACTCACTGTTGAAGGAGAAGCTTAGAGAAAATTCTCATTTGGGTGATTTGATTTTGACAGAAAGGCCAGAAGGACTTTTTCAGTTCTGTTCTCTTGATTTCTGTTTTGACTGTTGCTTCTCGTCTACTAGGTATGTAGGAAACCTTCCAAGAATCTTTGACTACTCGCCTTTAGATCCAACACAGGATTTCAACACACAAATGTAAGTAACAGATTATATCAGATAGTGGCATTTGCTTGGTTTCAGAATTAAAGTCAATTCTTTTTTTTCTTATGTTTTGTATTTTTAAAGTGTTCTAAAATGAGCATGTGTTATCTTTATAAGAAGAAAGAAATTCATAACTTTATTTATAAAGTACCAAGGGAAAAATTGAAAATGGAAACAGAACCAAGCAAAGTCAAATTAAAAGTTACTTGTGAGCCTGGCTTACTTCACTTAATATGAGTTTTTCCAAGTCTTTCCATTTTCTAACAAAACAGGCAATGCCATTTTTTTTCTGACAGAGGCATAGAGTTCCATTGTATATATGTACCACATTTTCTTGATCCATTGATCTACTGAGGGGCATCTGGGTTGGTTCCATATCTTAGCTATGGTAAATAATGCTGCAATAAACATGATTGTGCTGGTAGCTTTGGTATAATCTTGTTGATCCTTTGGGTAAATGCCCAAAAGTGGGATTGTTGGGTCATAAGGGAGCTCTATGTGGAGTCTTTTGAGGAACTTCCATACGGCTTTTCAGAGTGGTTGGACAAGTTTATACTCCCATTAACAATGCAGTAGAGTTCCCTTTCCACATCCCCTCCAGCATCTGTTGTTATTAAGATTTCTTGATTATAGCCATTCTAGCTGGGGTGAGGTGGAATCTCAACATTGTCTTGATTTGCATTTTGTTGTTGTTGTGGGGCTTGAACTCTGGGCTTGGGCGCTGTCCCTGCGCTCTTCAGCTCAAGGAAGGCACTCTATCACTTGAGCCACAGTGCCACTTCTGATTTTCTAGTGGTTTATTGGAGATAAGAGTCTCACGGACTTTCCTGCTTGGGCTGGCTTTGAACCACAATCCTCACATCTCAGTCTCCTGAGTAGCTAGGATTATAGGTGCAAGCCATTGATGCCCATCTTGCATTTGTTTAATGGCTAGAGAGGTTGAGCATTTCTTCATGTGTCTATTGGCCATTCTTATTTCCTCTTCAGAGAAATCTCTCTTTACGTCTTTAGCCCATTTGTTAATTGGGTAGTTGTTTCTTTGAGGATTTGTTGTTGGGGGATTTAGTTTTTTGAGTTCTAAGTATATTTTAGTTATGAGACCCTTGTCCATTTTATGGCTAGTGAAGATCTTCTCCCAGTCTGTGGTTTCCCTTGTTTACAGTGACTAGTACATGTCTAGGACAGCAGAGTAGGTCAAAGGCTATGTACATACGACCATATGAGATAATGTTAAGCAAAATATACCCCAAGACAGGAACACAAGAGTTTTTTCTTTCTTTTCTTTTCTTTCTTGCTAGTGTTTTTAATGTACTTACAATACACTATGTGATTCTTTTGTTTCTATTGTATGTTCTTCCTCCATAGTATAACTCCTGTTTTCACTGGATTAGATATTGGGGCTCTGCACCTTGTGTATATATTTTTGTAATTTGGGGAGGGGAAGGGATATTGCAGATCGCTTAAATGAGGATGCAGGCTGACTCATTGTGATGACGAGATGTACAGAACACTATATTGAAAATGAACTTTACAATGTTAGGTTGGAGGGAGGTGGGAGGAGTTGGGGAGGTGGGGAAGGAAGTGATGGTAGGGGGAAAATAAAGGAGGAGGTAGCAATGCTTGCTATGAAGTGTACTCATTACCCTACTCATGTAACTAACCCCTCTGTACAACATTTTTACAATAAAAATTAATAATAATAAAAAAGTTACTTGTGAGTAGTCAAGCTAAGTTGCACTGCCTCAGAACAGAACTAATAGCTCGTTTAAAGTGTTTCTATGGAAGACAACCATGACCCCTTTGTTTTTGTGTCTCCCTCTTGGCCAGGACTAAGCTAGGACATGGACTTCTCTCAGGCCAGTATTCAAAACCCCCAGTGAAATCTGAGCTCATTGAGCAAGTGATGAAGGAGGAGTACAAGGTATGTGTCCCTGCATCCATGACATTGATGCTTGCTAACAAGAAGCTGAGTTTCCTATACATGTGCAAATGGAAAAATGTACAATTAGAATTTCAGAAGATGGCATTTCAGTGCACAGTGCCTGTCTATGTGCTCTTAAAAACTGTAGCAAGGAATAGAATGGGTCAAATTGGTTGACAGTGACTCTTTCCAAAGGAGTAGAAAGAGGTTACAATCTAATGAGAATAACATCTGGATAAATTTTATGATTGCTATACTTTTGGAATCTCCTCATCTGAGAAAGTGTGAAATACAAAACCATCAGCTTAGTTGTATTTGGAAGTGAAGTTTGCTTTTGGTACTATTATGATGTCTTTTGCCCTGGTGAAAAAGGGAGTTCTGTGAATACAGCACATTATCCATTCTATTTAGTGATGTCTGCCCAGTGTCCTGTCTCTGTGCCACTGGACAGCAGTTCTGCCTATTTCTAGGGCGCTGGGGCTGACAAGTGGGAACCACTGCTAGGTGAAGTTGAGATGTGTAACTGGCAGCACTCTGGCCATATCTGGCCTGCAAATGTGTTTTGATTGGCTTTGAATTTCCAGCTCTTCTTTATGACTCAGAAACTGTAGTAGTCTCAGCTCTCCCTTTATATGGGACATGTAGTCCTCAGCTGGCTCCAGAGTGTTTGTGACTCATAATTGGGCTGGCACTCTGTGACCTTTAGTCTAGATGATTTTTAAAACCCTTCCCAGCTTTAAGGGACCAGGATCTAGAGGTCTAGAATAACGAATCCTAAAAGTAGCCATTGAACGGGTGCACTTAGCAGTGATGGAGCAGCTAGAGGTTTATGTAGCTAGGTGGGAAATGATCCAAGCACTAGTGAGATTCCTGAGACATTGAAAACACACCTTGAATTGACTGTGGGGTTTCTTTTGTGGTCCCCGAGGAGTGGTGACTTTTCAGCTGTTATTCAAGCAAATAATTCCTAGGAGAGACCTCTACTTCCTTGACAGGTATCAGGATGTTCAATTGGCTTCAAAGGAAGCAGTTTGTGAGAATTTTCCATCTCTCAGATGTGGCAAGTGGTCCTGACCTAGGGATCATCGATAAGTTTGTGACTTATGGAAGAGCCCAAAATTCCCAAAGGAGGCAAGAAGAGGCACTGCAGCAGAGAAAGGGATAGATTGTGAGAGGGATGTATGGTGTCAGAGCCATTTGGCAAAAATACCTTTTCCCAGCCACCCTCCTCCCCCAAACACACCAAAGATACTCATAACCCACGTTGCATCATTCCTGCCAAGTGTTTGCTCTTCCTGTAGGCCCAGCGATACAGAAATTGATGCAGGGAAGTTTTGCCAGAGGTATCCACTGAATGGCAGAGCTGGTAGCTGCACTGGGTAGACTGGCTCCTGTGTCTGTCTGTGCTTTTGACTGCTGCTGTCTTCTGCTTTCCTAGCAGCTGCTCAGGATGGATTTCAGGCTAGTGCTTCAGAATATGGTGGTAGTGGTGGAGTGACAAAGGGGGAATTTAAAAAAATTATTTGTTTTTACCAAGTAGTTATGCAAAGGGATTTCAATTCCAGGAGTCAGTTTATAAGTATAATGCATTTTGATCATTGTCACCCCTTTCATCATTCTCCCTCATTTCCCCATCCTATCTCTACCCTCAAGTTATGTAGTTCAATTTTTATGTAGTGTACATTGAATATAATAACCATATTTTCTCACCCTTCCTCCCTCCACTCATAAAGACAGTATTTTCACTTTGCACATTACCAGGTAGTCCAAAATGTGATGTTCTGTCCTCTGTTCTGTCCTTGGATTATTTCTGGAGCATATATATTTTCATTTTAAACTGATCTGTTAGAGATTAAGGTGATATCTAGTGGATTTTAGTTTATTACTTTTTTTTAAAGGGGGGATTAAAGCCAAGGTTTCAAGTTTGCTAAGTAAGTACTTTGCCCTTTGAGCAATGTTCCAAACTCTTTTTATTTTTATTTTTATTTATTTTTTGGTCCGGTTGTGGGGCCTGAACTCTGGGCCTGGGCACTATCCCTCAGCTCTTCAGCTCAAGGCTAGCGCTCTACCACTTGAGCCACAGCGCCATTTCCGGCTTTTTTTCTTTTTGCTTATGTGGGGCTGAGGAATTGAACCCGGGGCCTCATGCATGCAAGGCAAGCAACACTCTACCACTGAGCCACTTTCCCAGACCTATTTTTATTTTCTTATTGACGTGTGTGTGTGTGTGTGTGTGTGTGTGTGTGTGTGTGTCCATCTTTCTATCTGTCTTTGAGACAGGATACCTTTTCTCAGACCGACATGATTCTCCTGCCTCTACCACCTGAGTAACTGGGATTACAGGTGTGTGCCACCATGTCTATAAAATTAAAATTTAGGGCTGGGAAGGTGGCTCAGTGGTAGAGCGCTTGCCTTGCATGCATGAGGCCCTGGGTTCGATTCCTCAGCACCACATAAGCAAAAAGAAAAAAGCCTGAAGTGGCGCTGTGGCTCAAGGCTTGGGCTGAAAAGCTGAGGGACAGCGCCTAGTCCCAGAGTGCAGGCCCCACGACCGGACCCCCAAAAAATATTAAATTAAAATTTAAATATATGTTTACTTAAATTGTCTTCTAGAAAAAATTTCAGTGTTTTGGGTACTACTGCTACTTAAAGTTGTTGAATTGTTTTATTTACTTATATATTTCTGGAAATCAAACTCATCAAATTCAGGTGTTCTACCATTGAGCTACATTCCTGGCCTGTTGAATCAACTTGTTTTATCTTTTTTTTTTTTTTTTTTCAATTCCAAAGTTTTTTTTTTTTTTTTTTTTTTTTTTTTTTTTTTTATTTTTTTTTTTTAATTTTTTTTTTTTTATTGTAAAGATACTCTGTTTTATCTTTTTTGCTTAGCCAAGAAACATTTATTTCTCGCACTTTTGGAAACTGAAAAGTCCAAGATCATGGCAGTGGCAGATTTGTATCTGCTGAGTCTTATTCTTGGTTTTCAGACAGTTGTCTTCTTGTTCTATTTGTATCTGTCTGTCTATCCATCTACTGACATACATACTTATTTTTTTTGTGCCAGTACTGGGGCTTGAACTTAAGGCCTGAGTACTGTTCCTGTACACACACACACACACACACACACACACACACACACACACACACACACACACACACACACACACTTGATTGTTATGCATATTAAGGAAGTGATTTCAAACTTAATTTTTTTTCTTGTAAAGATGCTATATAGTTACATGAGTAAGGTAATGACAACATTTCTTCAATGTTGAAAATGAACAGTGTTACCCTCTCCCTTACTGTTTCCTGCTTTCCTTCCCCTTGTCTTTCCTCCCCACCAAATTGCAAACATTTTGAAGTTGGCTACTCAGTCTTTTTGTTCCCTTTCTAAAGATAACTTGAAGTTTTTTGTTTTGTTTTGTTTTTGTGCCAGTACTGGAGCTTGAACTGAACACAGGGTCTGGGCTGTCCCTTAGCTTTTTCTCTCAAGTCTGGAACTCTACCATTGAACTCACCTCTATTTCTTGCTTTCTGGTGGTTAATTGAGAAAAGAATCCCTCAGACTTTTCTGCCCAGCCTGTCTTTGAATGTCAGTCCTCAAATCTCAGCCTCCTGGATAGCTAGGATTGCATGCATAAGCCACTAGTACCAGCTAATGCTTTTTTAGGAGCAGTTTATTTGATTTCCCACTGAAGTAATCTTTTTTTTTTTAATTTTATTT